ATATGATAGTTAAGCCTTGGGTCTTAGCTACATAATCGTGAAAAAAGCAGGCATTTATCACAATTATTAACGAAGTTATGGTAAAAATAAACACAGAACTCAAAAATTCTCAAAAAATCCGAAAAAAAATCATAACTCCTAAACTAAACAAAATCGGACCATATATATGGGGCTGATTTGGGTTCCTCTCGATGTGATGAATCTAATTTTTTTTTTATGACGTCACGTGTTTGGCCACCCTGTATATAGAGAAAAAATTATCACGCGGAGAAAGGTATATAACAAAAAGTAGGAAAATAATGGGCAAAATCCGCAAAAAGGAGGAAAGTGGATTCGAGCAGAAAACAGGATATGTAACCCGAGCGATACGTATTTCTGCTGGTTGGCTTCATAAGGCCCGAAATCAATGCACATACGAAACTACAAAAGTAGATACACATGCCCACACATCCGGATACGGGTGTAACCTGAGGAAACGAAGATGGAGAGGGAAAAAAGTGACACACGAAGTCCACAACAAGATCATTTTCTTTTTCTAGATTCTTTGGGCTTGAAGTACCGCAGCAAGTGGCTACAACCGACCGCATGGTTGTGGTTAGATGTCTCCTTGAAAATTCGAGATCTTCTAGCCATTTTATACTACAATGTGTAGGTTGGCTCTTGTTGTGGACTTCGTGTGTCGTTTTTTCCCTCTCCATCCTCGTTTCCTCAGGTTACACCCGTATCCGGATGTGTGGGCATGTGTATCTACTTTTGTAGTTTTATATGTGCTATCATTTCAGGCCTGATGAAGCCAACCAGCAGAAATACGTATCGCTCGGGTTATCTATCCTATTTTCTGCTCGAATCAACTTACCTCCTTTTTGCGGATTTTGTCCATTATTTTCCTACTTCTTGTTAGGTATATACCTATTTCCGCGTGATCATTTTTTCTTTGTAGATCCTTTGCGCTTGCAGTACCACATCAAGTGGCTATAACTGGCCGCGTGGTTGTGGTTAAATGTCCCCTTGAAAATTCGAGGTCTTCTAGCCATTTTATAAAACAATATGTAGGTTGGCTCTTGTTGTGGACTTCGTATGTTGTTTTTTTCCCTCTCCATCTTCGTTTCCTTAGGTTACACCCATATTCGCTTGTGTGGGCATATGTATCTACTTGTGTAGTTTCATATGTGCATTCATTTTGGGCCTGATGAAGCCAACCAGCAGAAATACGTATCGCTCGGGTTATCTGTCCTATTTTCTACTCGAATCCACGTATCTCCTTTTTGCGGATTTTGCCCATTATTTTCCTAGTATTCATAGTTAATTGCCTTAACTGTTAGGAGAAAATATCCTTGAATTTCTTTGTGTACAAGGCAAAGTATTGCATAAGTACACTCTTGTAACTTAAACTCAAGCTTTCGAAGATCGATGACTTCATCCTCTGGAGCTGGAAACAATTGTTGACAATAGCAACAAATAACAATTAGGAGGAAAAATAGTTACTTACTAAGTCGGCGAGATTGTTGCTGAAATAATTTTAGACAACAGTGAAGGGAACACATAGTCGACGAATAAAAAACTGGACTGATGAGGTTCGATTAGGACGGAATTGTTTTATTATTAAATGGCAAATCATAGCTATGTTTTCTTTTAAATTTGAAAACTATCAACTATTGAAGATTTCTTCGAGATTTCATCTTCTTTTCGCACTGATAACGTCCACATTATCCAACACGTGCTGGCCGACTGACACTCTACAGTGGCGTATGAAGTGTGATATTGAAGTTATTGGAAGGTCATTCGTTGTTTCGTAACTGTGACGTGTGTTCCCTACCATGTAGGTAGTTTTGTAATATAGTGCAAGAGGTTGTGCTATTATTGACCGATGAAGTTCAAAGTTATTTTCAAAACTTGATTCGGTGTTGCTTTGGAAGGAGCGTGATTAGGATATTATCCTACCAAAACAACTAGGAAATTTGTAGGAATATTCACACATTCACAGAATAATGATAACAACAATACCAACCTCTCCAGCAATAACAATGATAATTCTCCAGCTTGAGTTTAAGTTATAAGAGTGTACTTTTGCATTACTTTGCCTTGTACACAAAGAAATTCAAGGATATTTTCTCCTAACAGTAAAGGCAATTAACTACCCAAATAAATTTCAAGGCTATTTACAGGGTATCCGCAAAGTTGGGGTTTTCCTTTACACGACGCGTAGATCTTGAAAACATAAGCAATTTTTCTTAGTACCATATACACCAATGCCTTAAGGGAACCGAGATAGAGGGCTCTGCAACATCAAAAATATCTGAATACCGTCTTGTAGCCGCGACCCGCGATATCCCCGAGTGGTACTAGGACACTAGCTCAACCCGACGACAGAACTGGGTCGGGGTCAGTGTGTCAGGTCAGTATGCAACCTTCAACCGACGGTTACGGTCACGCGTGTAGAGGTAACCGCGTAGACGAGAATACCTCAACAAGCACTAGAGACGTGGCTAGAGAAGTGCAAGTATCAAAAACTGAAGTGTGGCAAACGCTGCGTGAAGAGGGGCTGTATCCGTTTCACGTCCAACGTGTACAAGCCCTTCAACCTGACGATTTTCCAGCAAGAGTGCGGTTTTGTGAGTGGTTGTTGCATCAACATGACAATAATCCGGACTTTTTGAAGTGCATATTGGTGACAGACGCATCTACGTTCACGCGTAATGGGGTGAATAACTTTCGCAACACTCATGTTTGGTCAGTAGAAAATCCGCACGCTGTCCGTCGGGCACATTTTCAACAAACATTTTCGGTGAATGTTTGGGCTGGCATGGTGAACGGTATGCTCATTGGACCATTTATTCTCCCAAATCGATTGGACAGGATGCAATACCTAGACATTTTACGCAACATTTTGCCTGCGTCTGCTCGGTAGCGCATCAGCTGATTTCATTTTCTGTTGGAGCGGTATGATTTCGGGCAGAGACGTACTTAGCCCTTCTCGTCAACTGGAGAATGAGTACTTTTTCCTTTATTTTTTTTTTACTTGGTCGCCCGCGTTTCACTACACATTACCTTTGTTATTTCAAGGGTAGTTGTTTCTGAAAAGGAAAACCCCAACTTTGCGGACGCCCTGTATATATATATATATATATATATATATATATATATATATATATATTCATAGTTAGTTGCCTTAACTGTTAGGAGAAAATATCCTTGAATTCCGTCCTAATCGAACCTCATCAGTCCAGTTTCTTGTTCGTCGACTGTGCTCTCTTTTACTGTCGTTTAAGAACAATTTCAGCAAAAACCTCGCCGACTTAGTAAGTAATTATATTTTTTCCTCCTAATTGCTTATTGCTGCTATTTTTTTAAAAACGGTTTTTTAGCCAGATGATGATGGCATAGACCATCGAAAGCTCGAGTTCAAGTTGTAAGAGTGTACTTATGCAAAACTTTGCCTTTTACCCAAAGAAATTCAAGGATATTAAATATATACTCATATATATATATATATATATATATATATATATAAATAGTATTCATAGTTAATTGCCTTAGCTGTTATTAGAAAATGCCCTTGAATTTCTTTGGGTAGAAGGCAAAGTATTGCATAAGCGCACTCTTATAACTTAAACTCGAGCTTTCGATGGTCTATGCCATCAGCGTCTGGAGCTGGAAGCAATTTTTGAAAAATAGCAACAATAAACAATTAGGAGAAAAAAATGTAATTGCTTACTAAGTCGGCGAGATTGTTGCTGAAATCGTTCTTAAACGACAGTGAAGGGAACACATAGTCGACGAATAAAAAACTGGACCGATGAGATTCGATTAGGACGGAATTATGGTATTAATAAATGGCAAATCATAGCTATGTTTTTTTTAACTTTTTGAAAAATTCTTTCAAGCACCGATTGATTTGGAAGAACTTAAAAAACTATCAACTATTTATTAGATTTCATTTTGCTTCCTGATAACCTCCACATTATCCAACACGTGCCGGCCGACTGACATTCTACAGTGGCCTATGAAATGTGACATTGAAGTTATTGAAAGATCATTGTTCGTTACGTACCTGCGACACGTGTTGCCTACTATGTAGGTAGTTCTGTAAATTAGTGTTTTGTTATCCGATGAAGTACAGAGTTATTTTCAAATTTGATATGTCTTGTTGTGGAAGGAGTGTGATATGTATGTTATCCTACCAAAGAGCTAGTTAATACGGGAATTCTCCCACTTGAGGAAAAAAAAGTTTGTAGCAAATTTATTTTAATTATACTATATATAGTGAAGAATTTTTATTAAGTAGTTTGAGCGATTATCGCGAGAGGTCGATATAATGGGAGATATGTTGCTTTGCCAATTTTTCGTAGTTCAGCAAATATGCATAAACAACGCTAAGTTGATTGACATGAGCTTTTGTTCATGCAAATATCTGTCATGAAGATATGTGGCATTTCCAGGAACAGGCGTATTGATAGATGATTTTCTCCCTCTAGCACCTTGATATCATTATATCCCATTTGATGCCCTGTGGAGTTGACGTGTGAAGCCAGAGCACAGCTTCCTGAATGTAGTCGGGCATAACTTTTATGTGAGGTTATTCTACCTTCAAGGGATCTTTAACCCTTTCGGTATGGCTTGTCACTGAACATTTTTATTCCTACGGCCTGAGACTTTTACATTGGTCATTGGCCTGCCGTCGGAAATATCCGTCACCTAAGAAAACTACCCACATTTTATGAAATAATATGAGCAAGTTATATTAAAACAATTATTTTATTAGATAAAGTTACAGAAAACATAAACACATTAAACATTAGAATATTAAACATTAAAAAGTAGCCTCTGTGTGATATATTTTGAAGCAAGGGACCACGCATAATCCAACGTCACATTCTGGGCACATATAGCTGGACTCTTTTCTTTTTGCTTGCTTCTGCTTTGTATGGGAACAAACCCAACATCTTCTGGATCCAACCTTAGTACTGCCTGGTTTTCGTGGAACTGTCACCGGAAAGTGTCTATTCTGAAGCCTGGCATTGCCCAAATCGCAATGTATAGATTTTACTGTGCCATACCTGCAAAAAAAAAGCATTTAGCAAATATGATCGAAAACTACAAAGAAATCTTTACCTTTCTATAAGTTGAGCAATAACCGCTAGATGAAAATTGGCGAATGAAGTCTTCTTAGTATGTCTTGTGGAAAAAATTGCATGTGCGTTTAGCAATGTTATGTCAATCGAATGGAAAAATAACTTCTTATACCATTTCAGACATCTTCGAGTGCAATCTACGCTACTCAGCATCATATCTGATCTGTCGACAGCCCCCATTTGACGGTTGTATTCCAGAACGCATAACGGCTTTATTACATTTTCATATGTAGATCGATTTATTTTCGGCAAAGTAACCATTCTATTTTCATGCATACTGGTCAGCATCACAACATCCCGCCGATCTTTCCATTTTATTGCCAATGAATTTTCACTACTTCTCCAGTCAGTATCTCCTTGTTTTAATGTTTTATCAAATACTGGCATATGTTTCCTATTTTGCCTTACAGTTCCACAGGAGTTTGTTTTATGTTGTAACAAAAAAGTTGAAAGTGTAGGGCTGGTGTAAAAATTATCCGTATAAAGAGAATGTCCCTTGTTGAGGTATGGCTCTAAAAGTTTTGCAACAACGGCCCCTGTAGTACCAAGATTATTCTTGTCTTCTGCTTTTATATTAGTGTCTTTTCCACAATATCTTATAAAGTCTAAGACAATTCCTGTTTCGCAATCACACAACACGTAGAGTTTAATTCCAAAACGATGTTTCTTGGTCTTGATATACTGTTTAAAACTGAGTCTTCCGTTAAAAAGAATCATACTCTCATCTATAACCAAATTTTGAAATGGATAGAATTGAGACTGGAAATTTTCTTTCAATATATTTAGCACGTTCTCAACTTTGAACAATCTATTACCAGGTGGAGCGATTTCATTATTGGAGAAATGCAAATATCTTTGTAATTGAAAATACCTGTCCCTTGACATATGTTTGCTAAATGCAGGTGAAAGCAGTAAGTGGTTTTGGGACCAATATTCCTTCAAGTTCACTTTTTTATTGCGAGGCATAAGCAACGTCAAAGCCAGAAAAATGTAAAATTCGGAACGTTCTAAATGCTTCCAGTTTTTTGCATTTTGTTGGCGTGCATAATTATTTGTTTCATCCAAAATAACATCCACTATGTTTTCTGTGAACAAACTAAGAAAATAGTCGACTTCCTTTGAGTTTTCGTCGAGGTTTTGGTCTTTTACACCGCTATTGGTCGTGTCAAATTCGTGTATTTTCGGTAGAAACTCATTTTTTGTCCAAATTATTTCCAGAACTGTTTGGTGAGTAATATTATCTTCAACGTTTCCTACCTCTTCCTGCTGATTTTCTTGTTCATTTTCCGGTTCCAATTCATCCAGATCGCTCTCAGAGTCCTCAGAAGATGGACAATATTCGCTTCCGCTATCGAGAAAGGGGTCTTCTTCACTAACGTCAGACAAGTAAATATCTTCATCTACCAGACTTGACTATTGACTTCCTCCTCAGTTAAACCACAATATCCGCTACAATCTACTTTACGCCTTTTCGGCCGCTTAGTGCCCTGAGACGAACTGGCCTCCTCGTTTGACATGATCGAACGAACTGACGCTTCTGAAGCTTACGGTACATGGCATGCTACCATGCTCGACTGCCGTCGGATATTTCCAACATTGACGGGTTATTCCGACAGCAGGCCATCCACAATGCGTTATACGTCGGATAAAGTCGTCGGCAGTCTCTCGGTGAATGTAGGTTTTCAAAAGAGTCGGAAATAAACGGCACAAGTGTCATTAAACAAAATAACCCTGAACGGATACATCCGTCACCAGGCCGCAGGGCCATATTGCTTCCTGTCGGGTATATCCGGCAACCGTACCGAAAGGGTTAAATATGACCTCTTTAGATGAGATTGCAGTTATTGCAATTGATATAGTAGACAATGTTGGATAGGCCATGTAGAGGAACTCTATCTTTCATTTTGGAGAAAACATTGTTGATTGTGAGTGAGGATATACCTATAAGCAATGTGACAATTTAAAGTGTTGCACAATCTAGAAAGTTTTGGTGTTAGGTATTTAATATATGGCAGGATTGTAAAATTAATTCTGAAATTAGAGGAAATATCTGTATTGTTAAAAAGATTGTCATTTTTATTGCTGGAAAGGTTGGGATTGTTGTTATCATTGTTCTGTGAAAGTGAGTGGTATAGCAGTGGGAGAGCTGAACAAAATTTTGTTGTCAGGTATCTTGGATAACCATTATTAATGAAGAGTGTTGAGAGTTTGCGTAAGTTTGAAAGCTGGAAAGTACTGTCAGAAATGCTAATGACCCTTGTTTTTATTTGTTTCACTAGATTTATCTTTATCTTAAGTTTGTGGTAGGATCTGAAATTCAGGAATCTGCCTGATGCCATAGGCTTCATGTACCAGTCTACCATTAAGATATTGTTGTTTCGGATGATTTATGAGTCCAGAAATGGAACTGATTGATTATAGTCTTCTTTTTCTATGGTGAATTGAATATAGGGACCATAACTGTTAAAAACTTCTACAATATCGTCCAAACCTTCAACAGTTAGGCAAAAAATTATGTCGTATACGAATTTTTTAATAAGGAAAAGGTTATAAGGCAATAACTGAATGACAATATCAAGCAGGTCATCCACTTCTAGTCTGCCAAAATTGGTGATAACACTAATCCCATTGGACAACCATGTGTTTGTGGATAAGTTTTATTGTTAAAAGTGAAATAATTATTACCAAAAACATATTTTAAGATGATGATGAAGGATTCCAGAGTTAGATTGCAGTGCTGACATATTAGATCCCAGTGTCTGTGAATGGATCTGATGCAAGCTTCGAAGTAGATATTACTGAATAGTGACACCGATTTGCGATCACATGTCCAGGTGGTATTTGCAACTTGTTATAATTGTCGAGATACATCAAAGGAGTCTTTAATGTGGTATTAACATTTACTGTTGGCTGACTTAAGTATACCTGAAATTAGTGAGGATAAAGCCTGCGTGGCCGATCCGATTGATGCCACTATAAGTCTGACTGACAGTGTTGGCTTATGTATTTTAGGAAGGGCATACAATTTTGGTGAGACTGAGTTGTATGTGGCTAGTAATTTTTTCTGGTCTTGGTTTATTTGTCCAGTGTTGAAAAGCTTATGAGCAATGTCATTACAACCTTATTCCACTCTTAATGTGGGTTCTCTATCAATTAAATTCTAGGATGGATCATTATCAATTAAGTTGTTACATAGATCAAAATATTGTTCTCTGAGCATTATAACAGTGTCATTTCCTTTGTCAGATTTTTATTTAATTTCCTTTTTTTATAGACAATTTTGTATTAATATTGCTCAAGAGATAATCTCCATCTGATTAGTCTTGAATTTGGTGATCGATGATTCATTAAACACTGTAGTGCAGCATGATCTGTAACGATCGTAAAGGTCCTACCAAAAAGGTACCGTCGGAAATATTTAACTCCGTATATTATAGCAAGAAGTTCTACTAGCGTATGCTATAGGTAAGTCTGATCCTATTTTTCCCTGACCAAGAATCGCTGAAATTGCATAATTACTACGTCTGTCGTTAAAATAAATGGATCTAAAATTAGGATATTGTAAAATAGGCTTTTTTATACTCCAACTAACACGAAGGCCTAATGCCTAAACATCCATGGGGTACCGTGGTGCTATAGGGGGAAACAGACGAAAGGGGAGACGCCAAACTGGCGAGCGAACACGTGTGCATGCAACATGCACACATTCTGGCCCCGCCTACGAGATTCGCCGGATGTACCACCGCGTTCGACAATCAGAGACAGTCTACCAACTACGGACAATCACAACATCCACAGCCAAGAGAAAAATTCAACGACGATGAAAAGACCTAGACCTTTCTATTTACACTAAAACGCGTTGAAAGGATAAATATTAGGGAATTGCAATGTTGCCAGTTACTAGCTGATAGAATTCCTAACCTGGTAGTAAACAAACCTCAAACAAATATTTCATCGTGTAAACCAGCTATTTGGACTCATGAAAATAATAAAATTGTTAACATTCTTGAAAATCTGCATAAGCAATAGTGAAAAGTAGAAAAGTGAACTATTTTCGTATTGAATTTACCGTTAGCGAATTGGAAAGAGATTTCCTTCAGTCACAGAGCTTCAGTCGACATTGGCAACGTCGCATTTTTCTTATGAATGCAATGGACATTTTACGATAGTATAAAGTGCGTATTTTATGCTTGAGTTGTGGATTTTCACAAATCATTATTTTTGTGCTATTTGCCATAAGTTTGTTAGTGATATTGAACTGTTACCTGTTGAACAATGGTGCGATCGTGTTATGTGTGCAAGATAAACAGCAGTAATCCAGAATCGGCCAATTTATCATTCCATCGGTAAGTAAGGTTATGTTTTCATATCATAGGCGTGGCAATACAAATTTTACTGAAAAAATTATCATAAAACAGTCTTTTACCATCATTTTAGTAACTTTTTGTAGCTTCCTGACGAGTTTATATGAATATACATAATATCCATCACTAGCAGTATGATACAATTTAAAGATGTTCTGGGTGTAGTTCATCAAGTACAAAAATATCCACATACACAATCTTCATGCAACTTAAGTAAACGTGATTTTGCCATGATTTGATTATATTTTTGTGCTAACTAGTTTATAATCATTAGACAGATCATTGGTGTAAGACATGTGTTTACAATTTTAGACTCCCATCTGACCCAGCAAAGCGCATTTTATGGATTTCACTGCTTGGCATTGACTGGGAGAAAACGTTGCCGAAAGTGGCACTGATATGCAGCAAACATTTTCATGATAGGGACTTTGAATATGATTCTGCTGGAAGAAGGCTTTTGAAGGATGGTGCTGAACCAGTAGATGTTCGCTCCATACATGATGAGCAGGAGTATGCAAGGTAAATATGTTTGTTACTTTTTTGAGTTTTTTTGACATGCTATTAATAGCATACAGATACATTTGCCCTATATATTCATATTGATTAATATTTACTCAGCATTTCTATTATCTAAAGTTTGAAGAATTAAAAATGTGTCAAGATTATACTTGTACTTTACTCTAGACTCTAGCCCTGTAAATATTTACTTTGTTATTGTATCCATAAGTATCTTAAACAAACATTATTATTCCAGCTCTGATTCAACAGTGACAGTTACTCCATCAAAGGAATCAAGCTCAGAAGCCCATAGCAGTCAAGGGAGCCCTGTCAGAAAGCGGTGAGTAGAGTTCTATACGGACTTGAACTATTCTCATATAATAAGCTTATACTACATATTATTATCAAAATAAACAGATTGGCACAGTAAAATAAGTCAGTGCCTGTGTGCTTCAAGTGTGCTTTAATAAATGCAATTCATACATTCAAGTACATTACCAAACAATTATTGTCAAAACTTATCTAAATAGTATCATGTGTATGTCAAAGGATTTTGGTTGTTTACATGTGTTATGTCCAGTATTTTATGTATACCTTTTATTTTAGATTGAGAATGGAAGAGTTAGCTATACCAGGGCCTTCATATGTGGTGTGAGTATTCTCTTAATCTAAACCATTTCATTTACTCATGTAGAAAATATTTTAGCTCAAGTCATATTCCTTTTCCTGATGAAGCTTCTAAGATGGTAGAGCCTCCAGAAATTTTGCAGTCATTCACATCATCCAGTACTGCAACTGCTTCTGAACAGGAGTATCAATTGACAATTAGAGGCAATGTCACCAAACGAAATGTCAGAACACCACGTAAAAGAAGGTATTTGAGGGAGACAAGAACTTGTTTCTTACTAGCTATTTTGTATCAAGATGAAATGATATATAATATTATTTAATGAATAAAGTATATAGTTGACACATTTATCCTTTTCAGGCTAAAACGTTATGTTGGAGATTTATCAAGTGATGACTTTTCCACTCCCAGAAAATCAAAGTCAAATTATGGGTTGATGAAACAAGTGTTGCTGCTTTGAGGAGAAGAATAAAAACTCTAAGTGGCTTATTGAAACTTTTGAAGCAGAAGAATCACATAACAGATTCAGCTGAAACTGTATTGAAGGTAAGCAGATTGATGAAGACTGTGTGTCCCAGATACCCGAATTCATTTGAATGGAGCAATTGATCAACTTTTTTTTTCAATATAATAATTTTCATTACAACACACACACAACACTCAACATACCATAACTGGTCAGAAGACCAGTTGTAATCTTGCTCATTGAAAATAAGCATTATCATCTTATCACTTTTGCACATATAGCTCCATGATTTTTTTCTTTTAATTATAGCATTTGATATTCTTTTTTTATTCGTATTTTGTTTATTTTGACTAATACTTGTTACAAGTATACATATCGTCATCTAACCACAGCAGGTCATGAGACTGGTTATGGTAGAAATAGAATTGAGTATGGGTATGTTCAGTGTTAATATCTTAGTTTCCTGATGTTATTTATCTTGCATAAATGTAATTAATACTAGTTTTAAAATACTCATTCTGTTCAGATTACATGATTTAATTGCATTCTAAATACTTAATATCTCTTTTAGGCATCTCTTTCTGGTATGCCTTTGGAAATCTTTGAAAGAATGTTGAGGGGGCGTACTAGCCAGAAATATAACCCTGCCTTGCGGTCATTTGTCCTCACGCTGAGCTTTTATTCCCCAAGAGCATACAATTTTGTGAGGAAGACATTTAACCTTGCTCTACCCCATCTGTCAACAATAAGCAAATGGTATAAGTCGATTGATGGTTCACCAGGCTTCACTGAGGAATCCATTGTGGCCTTGAAATTAAAACAAGGAGAAGCTTCAACCAAAAACTCTACTGTTATGTGTAATTTAGTCCTAGATGAGATGTCTATTCGGAAACAAGTTGAATGGACAGGGAGTAAGTTCACGGGGTATGTTGATATTGGGGCTAACATAGAATCAGACGTTCTACCAGAAGCAAAGGAGGTGTTGGTTTTTATGTTAGTATGCTTGAATGGAGCATGGAAAATTCCGGTGGGTTACTTTCTGTTGGATGGCTTGACTGGTTATGAAAAGGCAGAACTCGTGAAAAAATGCCTAACCTTCATCCACACTTCTGGAGTTACTGTAGCATCATTAACATTCGATGGTGCTCCAGTAAATTTCACAATGGCTTCTTGTCTAGGGACAAATCTGAACGATGTAACAAACTTGAAGACTTATTTTCTCCATCCTATAACGGGTCAAAATGTATACATATTCCTAGACCCAAGCCACATGATAAAATTAGTCAGAAACGCTTTTGGTTCCATCAAATACTTAGGTGATTCTGAAAACAATCAGATAAGTTGGGATTATTTGGTGAAGTTAGTTGATGTGCTAAATATCGAAGGTTTACATTTAGGCACAAAAATAAGAAATCGTCATCTACAGTGGACGAGAGAAAAAATGAGGGTCAAAATAGCTACACAAACTTTAAGTAGAAGTGTTGCTGATGCTTTGACCTATTTATCCAAAGATTTAAAACTAGCGACGTTTGCTAATGTGGAAGGTACCGTAAAATTTGTTCAAACATTTAACGATATTTTTGATATTTTCAACTCTAGAAACAGGTTTTCAAAGTACTTATTTAAGCGCCCACTTTCTCCAGCTACTGCAGATACATTTTTCAAATTCATGGACGAGGCAGTTCAATATATCCATGGATTGCGACTAGGTACTCTCCCAATAATACATTCTCCAAAAAAAACTGGTTTTTTAGGATTTTTGATTTGCATTCAGAGCTTGAAACAGTTTTATAACTTGTGTATTGTAGAAAAGAAAGTTTTAAAATATATTTTGACAAATAAATTATCACAGGATCATTTAGAGCTTTTTTTTGGAGCTATTCGTAGTAAGGGAGGGTACAACAATAATCCCAGTGCAAGGCAGTTTGAAGCTGCATACAAACGATTGCTGGTGCATACAGAGATATCTGGCCCAGACACAGGAAATGTTGATAACCCAGAGCGTTTGACTATCTTATCTTGTGGCAGTGGATATCATATAACCAGGGCGGACGATGGTGAAGATCTTTTAAATAGCCCAGAATTACTTCAGTTTGAAGAAAAAATAAAAAACGATCTTGCCCTTTACCAGTGCACACCTTTTGCATGGAATCTTACAATTTATACAGAAGATGTTGTTTCATACATTGCAGGGTTTGTGGTGAATTGTTTAAAAAAATGTGTTACTTGTATAAATTGTAAGAATTCTTTAGAGGGCGATATTGGCATGCCATTGCAAAAAAGAAAAGTTTATGGACAATTGACAAAAGCCTCAGGACCAGTTATTCAAATTTGCCGCCATGGTGAAAAATACTTTCGTTTCTTCCAAAAGACAACTAATATCTTTAACAAAAATATCAAACATCTCTCGGATATTCTAGTCAATAATACCATACAATCAATATCACCACATATTTTGGGGTATTTTGAACACCACCTTCTTGAAGATGACCCTATTGATGGGCACTGCATATTTCTGATAAAACTGATTTTGAAAAAGTATTTCTCACTCAGAATTCATCACGAAACTGTGAAAAAATCGGACAGTTTAAAAAAAAAACAGAATTAGAAGTGTATATACGAAGGCAGTATTATTCAGCCATCAGTAAGATTTTTTTCTTTGTTGTATCTCTCGTAATTTTTTCTATTCTATGATATGATTCTAAGGTTGAGAAGTATTTTTAAATTATGTACATTTTTGTAGACCTGTAGGTGGCAGAAGTTCAAGCTTTGTTTTTCCCAAAATGCATAGCTAATTAGTAGATTTTTAATTTTCTGGCGACACTGATCATGTATGTATAGGTCGACTACATTTCAGCTGTTTCGCATGTAATTGAAATAATTCAAGATTCCGCAATATCTACCAATACACAGTAAAATGGAAATATCCCGACTGCATGTATTGTTTTTTTTCGTATTTCATGTTATAAATGGATACATAAGCTATCTTATAAAATTAATTTGCTATACAAATTTCTCAACACGATTACTACAACACTTTAGGTAACACCCCAAGATTGAATGAATTATTTACAATTATGCTTAATGTGTTGATGTATATATTTTTGATTATATTATATGTAATTAGATTTTATATAAAGTTATAAAATTTTGTATGTGTTTTTATTAATTGATTTTTTTTACGGAATAATTAAAAGAAAAAAAAATTATTATATTAATAATTAAGAAAATATAAATAAAAAAAATTATTAAAGTTAATCAATTTAAGGGGGCTATTTGAGGGATAAAAAATTATTATAATATAATAATTTTAGCTTGACAAGCTAACGTTATAATTTAACTAAATTTTTCATTAGAAGTAGGTGTAAATTTACTATTAATGATTTAAAAGTTCATTGCTTACTTTCAGCCATCTAATGAAATTTCAATTATTTTAGAAATTCATTTAATAAAATAGTTGGGGGAAATTCTTTCAATTACAATTGGTATAAATCTATGATTAGCCCCACAAATTTCTGAACATTGCCCATAAAATAATCCTGTTCGATTAATAGAAAACCTAATTTGGTTTAAACGACCGGGTGTAGCATCAATTTTAACACCAAGGGAGGGGATAGTTCAAGAGTGAATAACGTCAGCAGCTGTAATAAGTATACGAATTTGAGATTCGTACGGGATAACAATTCGGTTATCGACGTCTAATAGTCGGAAATTAAAATTTTTTATTTCATTTATGGGAATTATATAAGAATCAAATTCAATATTTTTAAAATCAGTGTATTCATAGGATCAGTATCATTGATGTCCGATAGTTTTAATAGTAATTATTGGATTATTAATTTCATCAAGGATGTAAATTAGGCGTAATGAGGGGATTGCAATAAAAATTAAAGTAATAGCAGGTAAAATAGTTCAAATAATTTCAATAATTTGACCTTCAAGAAGGTAGCGGTGAATAAATTGGTTAAAAAGTAATATAATTATTAATTGTCCTACTAAAACTGTGATAATTACCAAAATTATTAATGTATGATCGTGAAAAAAAGATAATTGTTCTATAAGAGGAGAAGCCCTATCTTGTAAAAGTAGCGTTTTTCATGTTAAAATTTCTAAAAAAAGTTTAAACTTTATATTTGGGGTTTAAATCCAATGCACTATTCTGCCATATTAGAAATTTGTTAATATAGGTAATTCAGAATATCTATGTTCGCTAGGAGGTAGGGCTTGTAATCATTCAATTGAAGTTGCTACATTTAAAGTTCTTAGAGATTTACGTTGAGAAGAGAGCCTTTCTCATAGGATAAATAGAAAAAAGATGATTCTTGTAAGAGAGATAATAGACCCAATAGATGAAATGGCATTTCAAATAGTAAAAGCATCTGGGTAATCCGAATATCGCCGAGGCATGCCTCTTAACCCTAAAAAATGTTGGGGAAAAAATGTTAAATTTACACCCAGAAATATAGTAATAAATTGGGTTTTTAAAAAAAAATTATTCAAGGTTAGTCCAGTAAATAATGGAAATCATTGAACAATCCCCGCTATAATTGCAAATACAGCTCCTATAGAGAGAACATAGTGAAAATGGGCTACTACATAATAAGTATCATGAAGGATAATATCAATCGAAGAATTAGCTAAAATTACCCCTGTCAATCCTCCCACTGTAAATAGAAATACAAAACCTAAAGCCCATAGAGTTACTGGTCTATTTAAAATTTGAGTTCCATGAAAGGTGGCCAGCCATCTAAAGACTTTAATTCCAGTTGGGACTGCAATAATTATAGTTGCTGAAGTAAAGTAAGCCCGGGTATCTACATCTATCCCTACTGTGAATATATGGTGAGCTCAAACTACAAATCCTAATAATCCGATAGCTATTATGGCATAAATTATTCCCAAGGTTCCAAAGGCTTCTTTTTTCCCCCTTTCTTGTCTAATAATATGCGAAATTATTCCAAATCCAGGGAGAATTAAAATATAAACTTCAGGGTGACCAAAAAATCAAAATAAATGTTGATATAAGATAGGGCCACCCCCTCCTGCAGGGTCAAAAAAAGATGTATTTAAGTTACGATCG